GTTTTCTGTAGGATGATGTTGATCCATATTGTCCTCCGTTTGTTTTCAATCTCTTTTCATAGGCAATTGACAGCTTTTTTAAGTGGTGTACTTTTGTAGGCTTTCAAATTTCGTGATACAGGTTTGTTAATTATAAGTTCTTGGCTAGTCAAATTACACCCCTCCTCAAATTTATCGATCATTCTACAAGATATAAAGGTGCCCTGGATTGTAAAAAGCCCTTTACTACATATTCATGGATGTATGCTAAAAATGACTTTCTTTGCTTAAGTTTTTTTTATTAAAATAAAGGATAAAAAAACGCTTAACTTTTAAGAGGTAAAACAGCTACATGTCTCACCTTAAGAAACAGGGAATAGAAATAATTCAGCAGACAATGCCAAGTTGTATAAATTTTTAGTGAGAGAATAAAATAAGAATTGAATATTACTCTCTGTAAGAATGTCGCTCAATAAGTTATATTTGAAAACATTTAAACTTCTGATACCTAGCCTTAATTTTTTTTTAAAAAAAAAGAGTCGTTCACTATATTAATATTTCCACTCTTCTAAATTTAGAACTCATTTATATTTTACTATATTCAAAGTGTTCTGAATTGGTATCTATTTTTTTCATCGGTTATTAACCGTGCGTTTTGAAGAATTAACTCCTTTTCAAATTGATATTATGTTTAATTTGCAAAAAGAACATACAGTTAAATAAATGAGGCAAAATAAATTCTTCATTATATAGTAATGAATTTCAGTTGATAATTCAATGTTTTCTTCCATTACTTTCACAGGCCACTGAAAAAGAAAACATTTTTTTTATAATATTATGACAAAATATATCAATACTCTAGAATTACAAAGATTAATTCTCATCACCCTTTAGATGGAGTGACGACTACACGAGGGGGGCGCGAGCATATTGAAAAGTCAAAAACAAAAGATTATTTTAAAAAATTATTAATTTACTGAAAGTGAACAAACAAAATACATTCTGGCATAGTAAAAAATAAAAATACGCCTTTACACTAATATATTACACTTAGAAATAAGTAAATTCTTCGCAAACATTGTCTAAGTATTTTATTGAAATCCAAAGCCTTCGGAATAATTGTATGGATAGCAGTGCACAGGAAAGATCGTACTTCAGAAAGACGTATATATACGTTTAGGGAAATTAATGCTTTGATTGAGCGAGACGTTTATGTACGCTGGTGGCACTTAAGAGGTTGAGCTCGTATAGTAGTTTTAGCGTCGAAGTATAGTATTATTGAATTCAATACATTGTTGTTGTGTTACGGGGGGTGCGATGAAAATCATGGTTGAATTTTGTGTCGCGAATATTGAAACTTTGAGAACCACTGCCTTAAGCCCTTTGTAATATTAATTTTAAAAAAATAAACTTAGGCTGGTTAAGCTGAAGCTGTTCTTAAGGCCCAAATATTTGTTTATCCCTTTAAATCAGGGTTACTTGATCTTTTTTCCCGGTGGACCACATAAATAAGACAGTATTTCATGTAACATGAGTATAAAGGGGCGGGGGGAGACTATAAGACCAAAGCAGAATTGGACAAAACAAAATGGGTGAAAATATCAAAACTCTCATTTTCGGTTTTTATTTTAATACTTTACTAACCCTTGTATCAAACACATGCAAAGATATTTATTTTTATGCTTTTTTTACTGAGTTATGGGGCAGTTTCGATTTTCCTTCATGCATGACCAAACCTCTTGTTTATATTCTACTATCTACTTATCTCTTCTTTGTGACAGACAGTCCAACATTTATCTGTCCCGACTTGCCAGTGAGTATTTAAAAAGTCTCACTTATTCTGGAGGCAATAAGAGATTTACTATATAAAAAAAATTTATTATTCCTCTCCTTGAGAGATTCATTATTGTTCTCTTTTCTCAATTTCTTTTTACGATTTTATTAGGTTCTTCATCCACATGTTGTATTAGGCTTAACTTTTCAACTTGGCTTTGTTTTCTTATATGTCGAAAATCTCTGCTGTACGGGGCAGGTTGTATCCACAAAGCATTGCTTAACCCTAATTCGCTGGCCTAATTCAGTGACAGCTTTAGAAATCGTAATAGGTCTCCAGTTTAGTCCAATGACTTTTTTTGTATCTATATTTGTTGTGTCTGCTGAATTCCAATTTCTTACTTCTTTAGCACTATAGGTTCTAGTACTTCTTCACTTTTATCTTATTATACTATATATATATATATATATATATATAAACACATTCTACTATCAAAAAAAAATTGATAGATTTGATTGCGTCATTGATGGAATTTCCCGCTAAATACCCCCGCTTTTTAGTACATTATTCTTAAGTAATTGAATTTTTTGGTGCAATGGGCCACAGCCAGGCCACGCAGAAAAGGCCACCAGGCCGCAGGTTGAGTATCACTGCTTTCAATACGCCATCTTCTTTTCCTGATAAATTAATATGGTTTGAAAATAGAAAAAAAATAATTCATATCACAAACTATTTTTCAAACTGATTTTCAATTGTATAGAGACAGGGGAGGTCAAACAAAAAAATGTTTGTTTATAAAATAATATTGAGTAACTATCTAATAACACAGGGAAAGAACTCGTGCCATTGGAGACGGATCTCATAACGATCAAGTGAAAATGATGATACCTGAGCTGTCCACCTGCTCGACAAACTAACGCACCACGTTAATTTAACGACAATGGGCCTGAAAAAAGGTTTAAGTGCATCAGCTTTTCTACACTGCGCATCTGAATTGGCACCAGGATTCGGACATCCAACTTCACAAAAGGAACACCAGATGGGAGTTCACTTAAAACAGAGGTGGCCAACCCGTGGGCCACTTTGAATAATTTTACTGCCCCAGCGAGATTCGTTACAACTTTACAAAATACGATTATTTAATGCATGTTTTTAGCATATTGTTTTGTATCACATAAGTCTCATAACTGTTTCTACACTCATGTTCATAAATTAAGGATAATGAAGTTCAGGCAAAGAAAGAGATAGAAGCAAAACAAATTTGACTTATTTGTAAAGTCTATTTATTAAACAAAAAGGAAAGTGCAAAAAGGATGCTATATGTTTGACATAATTAATAAAAATTGCGATTTTTACTCCCCTGGAGCCAATTTCAAAGAAGAATCTATTTACAAAAAACAGTATAACATGATTAGTATGATGGTTAATATGGAGTATGTCTCCCGGACGATGCAATATAGGCCATACAACGCCCAGGCATGCTGAGTATCAAATTATCAATCTCATCTTGGGGAATATTACACCACTCATCAAGCAATGCCCTCCGAAGTTCCGGTAGACAGGTGGGAGGGGGTTGACGGGCTGCAATTCGTCGGCCAAGCATATCCCACACATGCTCTATTGGATTCAAGTCCCGTGAGTAGGCTTGTCAATCCATTCGGGTGATATCCTCCGATTGAAGGAATTCGTCTACAATGTTTGCCCGATGAGGACGGGCGTTGTCATCCCTAAGCAGAAATTCAACACCCATGGCGCTCCGAAACAAACGTACATGTTATTCCAGAATGAAATCCCTATAGATGTAGTCTGTCATCGTTACACTCTGAACATGCAGGTCAGTTCTGGAACCAAGAATAATTCCTCCCCAAACGCGAGCCATCCTGCACCACCGTAACGGTGTCGTTCAATGGTGTAATCTTGGTGTTAACGGGTACCTGGTGCTCTCCATATTAAAGACCGGGGAGAATCAGATTGCAAACTAAACCTGGACTCGTCGGAAAACATCACACAAGACCACTGTTGTGCTGTCCACAATGCATGCTCTCTACTCCAGGTTAATCGCAGGCGACAGTGAGTTGCGGTAAGTGAAACAAATATGACAGGCTTACGAGCACATAGACCAATGTGCCCTGAGCGTCTGTACACGGTCTGCCTTCAATCTGTCGTACCGGTAGCTGAAGAGAGCCGACGAGACAAGTCTGAGGATGTGCTCCATCTGTTTCTTTTGGCAGTAACTGCCTAATACCGGTCCTCATTCGGTGTTGTAACTCGAGGGAGGCATGTGTTGTAACATCTACTCACATTACTATCATCTTGGAATCGTTGCCAAGGTGAAGCTCTGGGTGATTCTAAGTTCCTGGGATACTTCCAGCTGGGTACGTCTAGATTCCAGTCGTCCAATAATTCTACCACGTAAAAAATCATCTAAATGCTTCCTTTGTGCCATAACTATGCGGTTATTGCACTGAAAGGCTTTTAAAGATCTTGTGAACAATTTTACTTCTTTGCCACCATTCTTTATGTACCCCTCTCTTACTTTCTCATCATTGTGACGTACCATCCGTGCCATCTGGTAGTTTCCTGTAATTTGTATATTCTTCTTCAAGATGTGTGTGATAATTCTACAGGTGAAATTTTTATTTTAGAGTTCAATTTCTGTGTGATTCTGAATTATCCTTAATTTATGGACATGAGTGTATATTATGATGTTGCTTTTGTTTTTACACACAAGCTTTTATTTAACTTGCAATGTAAAATGTTCGGGTGGAATCTTCCAACTCAATTTTGAAGCTGATGTCTTCAACCGAATCAGCTGAAATTTTGTATACACATTTTGTTTGGATGACAACGCATTTTTTAATCATTTATATTCCGATATCGCAATTAGTTAAAAAGATATTAATTAAAGGAATTTGTTCTGGTGGAATCTTGCAATTCAAGTTTGAAGCTGATATCTTCAACCAGTTGAGCAGAAATTTTGTATTCACTTTTAGTTTTGATGACAATGCATGTTTTAATCATTTATATTGCGATATCGCAATTAGTTAAAAAGATATTAAGTAAAGTGTTTTGTTTGGGGGAATCTTGCAACTTAATTTTGAAGCTGATGTCTTCAACCTATTGAGCTGAAATTTTGAATACACGTTTAGTTTGGATGACAATGCATGTTTTAACCATTTATACTCCGATATACCAATTAGTTACTGTAACGATCATGTTCAGGTGTAAAGGAGAGCATGCGTCGACCGGGGGCGTAGCTTAGATGGTAGATCGCTCACCTAGCATGCGAGAGGTACGGGATTCGATATCCTGCGCCTTCAATTATTATTTTTCCGTGTAAAATATTTTTGAATTTCGTTTGATTTGTACAACAGGATATTTACAATACTTTCACTCAGCTTACGTACAAAGTATGTTATATTTTTACTGTTTTAGAGAGAACGGTAAGAAAGGCAGATCTATCAAGTGATTTCTATTTACTTTGAAACATTCTGGGATATCTATTGACTCGATTCTAGTTTCTCCCGTAACACTTTTAATTGACCTAGTCACTGTAACGATCTTTTTTAGATGTTAAGGCGAGCATGTTTACAATAACGCAGGAGGCACCCGGGAGTGTAGCTGAGATGGAAGAGCGCTCGCTTAGCATGCAAGATGTACAGGGTTTGATGCCCCACGCGTGAAATTATTATTTTTTAGCGTAAAATATTTTTGAAATTCATTTGATATGCACGACGAGATATTTTACAATATTTCCAGATAGCATACGTACAAAGTATGTTATATTTTTACAAGCTTTCATTTAATTTGCAAAGTAAAATGTTCTAGTGGAATCTTGCAACTCAATTTTGAAGCTGATGTCTTTAACCGATTGAAATGAAATTTTGTATACCCGTTTAGTTTGGATGACAATACATGTTTTGACCATTTAAATCCCGGTATCGCAATTAATTAAAAAGACTAGCTGCATGATCCGTCGTTGCACGGGCATTGTCTACCTTTATAAATTTTTCCTTTCCTTCACAAAATCAGCACTTCTAATATTCTTTTTGAAAAGGACTTCCACCCCCTCCCTCTCCTCCGCCTAGCCCTGCGTAGCTCGAGTTTTTATCGAATGTATAACTTAAAATTCATTGTTTTAAATTTTTTCGCTTATTTTCTTTGTCAGGCAGGTTTATAATCCACCCCCCCCCCGCCTGCGTTGAAAGAAAATTTTTAAATGCATAACCTATGGTCTCAGAAATACCCCTTCCCCTCTCGCTATCAGAGCTCTCAAGTAAGTGACCACTCACCGATTCCTAAGCAGCTTGACACGTGAAGCCATATAGTGGCACAAAAAGTAATGAATTTTTGCACAAATGAAATTAATAAATAAAATTTCGACATTTTATTTTTAAATCAGTAACTCTAAAAGATCAAAGTAAGATTTTTTTCAAAACCATTTTCATATAAACGAATCGATAGTGATTTATTTAAGAAAAAATCATAAAATATGTAAAGTATATTAATTTTGTAAAAAAAAATGTACTGCATTGTGACGAAATAAATTGTCTTTCCAATTAGAAAATTGCTGCCGAAGTTATTGAATTCACGAAAAAAATTTTAAGTATATTTTTTTAAAAAATCATAAAAACTAAACGATGATGTTGTTTTGAACCCGGGTACAAAAACTACTAATCCAGCACTCTAAGCGAACACTCTACGAAATATTCGGAAAAATAAATAAAAGACCGTTGAAATAAAAGGAATAGATATTTAATTTTGCATTTCGTTATTTGTTAAAGTTAAAAAAAATTTTCCGGCTTTATTTTTAAGTTAATGCCTTCAAACTTCATACATCGATTACAAAAATTCGTCATTTTTGAACAAAAAATGTAACAAATATAATGCTTAAATATTTGTCGTAAAAAGGTAATAAAAACGGAAAACACATTTTTTAACCGTACTTTTTAAGCAATTTTTTCAATCTTTGCACAGATTACAAATAGTATTGTTCTACACACGGAAAAAAATGTTTCATGAGATTGTTTTTATCATTAAAGAAAATTTTATGTATTTTAATAAAAGTTTGAGTACTTTTTAAAAATCGTAAAAAAACCCTTTTGACATTTTATTTTTTAAATGACTGATTCTAAAAATGAAAAGCATAAATTTTATTAGTGTAGAATATCATTTCATTAATGTGACAGAAAATGCAATCGGAATGATTTAGAAATCTTTTTCATAAAAATGTATCGATTTTAGAAAAAAATCGTAAGAAATAGAAAATAACATTATTTTGTAAAATAAATTATACCGTATCGTTGCGAAGTAAATTATTTTCCCGATTCTGTAATTATTTTTTGTCTCAGTCTCAGAAAAAAAATTAGATCGTGTTTTAAAAGCGTCTGGGATAAAAAAAAAATTGGTCAGAGAATTGGAACTTTGTCACCTGGCCGGAAAAATTGGCAATAATTTACGCTTTAAGGTTTTTAATTAATATCTTTTTAACTAATTGCACTTTTGGAATATTAATGGTCAAAACGGATTCCTTGGATCATTCCCAATCTTTTAGTACCGTCGGCAAGTTTTGCGTCGTGTGGTTCGTGAGAAGATACACCTAGTTTTATAGTCGCATACGTCTGTTTACCTATGAATTTCAATAGTGTAGATATTAATTAAAGTAATTTTTCGGATGGAATCTTGCAAACGGTATAATTCTTTTTAAAAAATAATGATATTATCTGTTTTTTACAATTTTTTCTAAAATGAGTCACAATCGATGCGTTTTCATGAAATGATTTCTAAATCGTTCCGTATGAATTTTTTTTTCATGTTATTGAATCGATATTCTGCACTTAGAAAGTTCAGGGTTTTCTCTTTTAGAATCAGTCATTTAAAAATAAAATGCCTAAAACTTTTTTTTACGATTTTTCAAAAATGCTTACATTTTTAATAAAACATCTGAAAACTTCATCATTTTTAAATATATAATCACACGAAAATATGCTTTCGTTTGTAGAATATTATTATGGAAATTCTGCACAAAAATTGAAAAAAATTGGTTTAAAATTAAGGATTTAAAAAAATTTGTTTTTCGTTTTCAATATAGTATTATAGTAAAAGCAAAAAAAAAAAAATGGAGTTTCGATATTTTAATTAATTTTGCTTTGTCCATTGTTGTTTTGGTCTTCCAGTATTTATCCCCCCTTTCCATTATCCTTTTGTTGCGACCCGAGAGAAATATCCATCATATATTTGTGGCCTGGCGTGAAAAAAGTTTGAGTACCCCTTAGCTGGACTTTTTCAAAATTAACTGGCAAACGACCTTGCAATAATATTGCGTTAAGTGAGATTAACTGACTGAGAAATTTCTGTCCAGCGATAGCTAAAAAGTAAATAATAAATTAAAAGTAAAAAACACTTTTTAAAAACAAGCTTTTATTTAAATGCTCTAAAAAAGAAAAAAATAAACTTTTCTTTTAATACTTTTTTTTTGCTATCAACTTATAAAATCGTTACACAAGTTATGATATAAAAACTTGTTGCAAAATTTGCGAAAACTTGCCTGTGTAGATAAACAAGCAAATTAAATAACTTGATCTGATTGATTTTAATTCTTAAAATTTTCAAACTAAGCAAATACGAGTACTTAAATCTCACGACAAGCTTTTATATCATAAATTGTGTAACGATTTTATAAGTTGATAGCAAAAAAAAATATTAAGTTTTTTAAATGCTCTAAAAAGAAAAGTTTTTTTTCTTTTTAGAGCATTTAAATAAAAAAGCGTGTTTTTAAAAAGTGTTTTTTTCTACTTTTAATTTATTATACATATACTCTACAACAAAAAAACGACGCACCAAGAAGGAATTGCCCGATTGTATCGAAATTTCGTACGCAAAGACATTTGCTCCAAACATGCAAATAATTAAAATTTGGTGTCCAATGAATGAATAACGGGAGCTACAGCGCATTTGAGTTGCGTACTCAGCAAGTGTCTATAAGAAGCTATTCTCAACCTGATGGTCCAAACTTCTGTTGCATTGCAATTTAGGATACCTTTCAATCACGGAAAAAAATGTCTCGCCGCACGATTCGTGCTCATTACGAGCAACGGTAAGAGTTGGAAAGAGGTCGTATTATTGGACTGAAAGAGGGAGGTTGGGTAAATCGGAGAATCGCTTGTCATATGGGTCGAAGCGATGTGGACATTAGAAGATGTTGGCAAGAATGGGTGGACAAGGGCAGATTTTAGCGTCATGATGGTAGCGGTCGACTTAGGGCCACAACAGATTGGAAGGATAGATTAACTGCCAGGTCAGCTGTCACAGCACCCGATTCGTCGTTATCAACCATCAGACGTGCACAGGAGGGTCCACCCTAACCATTCACAGACGGCTGATAGGGCGAAATTTACGTTTGTACCAACTGCTGCGCCACCAGCCACTCACGCCTGCACACACACTGTCAAGCCAGATTACAGTGGTGCTTCTGTCGATCAGGTTGGAATCATGCTGACTGGGGACGTATAGTGTTTAGCAAAGAATCCCGCTTCCAGCTGTGTCCTTATGATAATCGAATACGTGTCTGGATACGTCCAGGCAGCTTGCCGATCCTACTTTCCCTAATGCAGGCCACGCAGGCCCAGTGTTGCTATGAATTGTCTTACAGCTTGTTACACACTTCCTTGGACAGCCAGATAGCCAGATCTGTCTCCAAACAAGCATTTTGGGGATACGATGGGCAGGGGACTGCACCTACTAGAGAATACTGATGACCTGGCCTGACAATTGGAGCAAATTTAGCAAGAAATACCTCAAGAGACCATCATAGTGTTTTTTCATTCTGTGCCAAGTCGTCTGGTAGTTTGCATCCAGGCTAAAGAAGGGTCAATACCTTATTAAGCTCGTTACTTTGTAACTATGTAACTCAGAAATAAATCATTCAAAATTTCTGAAATGTTAATAATTTTTTATTCTATTCATAATCTTTATCACATCACACATTTTTACTCACAAATTTTTATCTCCATCGGACAACTCAGTGTCCGATGCGTCGTTTGTTTTTCTTAAAAAGTGTAATTGCAAGTGGGCAGTATTACATTGCAGCATCTAAAATACTTCCCAATTTTAAAGATTTGGTACAAAACGTGGAGAGCACTTTTGGATTACCTTACTCATGGGAATCATTTTTGTCGAAAATAAAATTTATCAAACATAAATTCCACTAAAACTTAATGGACGAAAATCTGCTGCAACAATTACGATGTGCAAATACAAGCATTGAGATTGATTTGCAAATAATAAATGAAAGAGTTGGGAAACAAATGTATCACTAATT